ATTAAGTGCCGTCAATTTTTGTTTCTTTTCAATAATACACCTTGTAATAATATTAATTTTTAATTTAAAAAATCGTGTAAACAACCAATTTTAATCTTCTTACCCCAATTAATTCGACGTCTCGTCCCGAGTTGCGCCTGTTTGCGTAAACATCGTACAGTGTTATAGTCAGTGATAAGTTGTCAAAATGAAAAAATTTTTTTCACTTACAATTCATATTAAAAAAAAAATCATTAATCTTCACTTCTTATAGGATTCTGTCTTGTTTATATATCTTGTAAATATCTATGATATAATTTTTTCTTCCTTTCATTTGTAATATATTTTAGTATGTTTATTTCTCAACATTCCAATTGACGTCTTCCCGTCAGAAGCATATTTACTTTTTTATCCACAAATTTCTGTCGATTAATCAGCAATTTCTACTCCACTGAATCGTCATAATGAAACAAAAAGTAACCAACGTCCGACTCTCGTAATAGTGTAATGTTCCAAAGGAGAAGCATCCTTTTTATCCTTCTTTATTCCGCTTCGCATCACACTTCATTTTCTTTTCCCTTTCTTTTCCTTCTCTATCCTACAGCCCAAGATCCATGTTATCGTTAACGCCTCGCGGTTCAAAAATATCTTGGAATTCTGTCACTACTATTCCGCGATGCTGTTTGGTTCTCGCTATCGTCATTCGATATTAGTGATTTACCGCGTGACGTGCGGATTCACGCTGCGCAGCCAATTAGAGATCGCGATTCCTTTTTGGGGTCATAACGCGAGAGCTATGAAGTTTCGCATAAAAATTGTGCATAGTTCCGAGAAAGGCAACAACATTTCCGAAAAATTAAAAATCATGCATTCTTGACCGACATTGTTATTGAGAAATATTAATAATTTAACATAATAATCTTCGTAGAAATACTAAACCTCATATTTTTCCTACAGAAATAAATTAGAAAGGCGAACGATATACGCTAACTCCATTAGCCTTTTTATTTCTTGAAAAACTAATTTACTCCTAACCTCACGTCGCAATGCGGTTCAGTAAGAAGTGCAGAAGAAAAATAGCCCTCGCCAAATTGAATAATTCAGAGACTAACAATAAGTAAAGTTTCGTATAATATTGTTAAATTTCGTAATGCTAATTTATTTTGAAAATTAATTACTACACACTTACTCGCGTTGTAAGAGTGAATACAGCATGAATTAGTTGAGATAGTGATAAGGAATGATGCGTATATTGTTCAAAAATGAACGCACTTAGGATAACAATCTGAATGCTGGAAACTCATAATAGGTATATCATTTATGTCTGAAGATTCCAACAATATACGTAATGTACTATACACACAGTATAATCTCAAACAAATTGATAGCACGGTACTGATAAAGGTTGAAGGATCATAAATCGAAATCAAGTACAATACAATTCGAGTGATCGGTCAACAATGTAATTGTATTAGTTGAAGGTATAATAAATTCCCTAACCACTGAATATACTAGGATCAACAATTTCGTAATGAGAACTAAAAACACTAATTTTGTCCAATTTATCCCGAAGGAAGACAAAACTTTGATAGAAATCGAAAAATTTCGCCAAAAACCTAATCATCATTGTAAATCACCAATTAGCCCTCAAAACCATCTCGGCACCAATCATAATGTTACACCTTGCGTAAACTCGTTCTTGAATAAAAAGTTAACCTATAAAAAAGTCATCCTGACCTCGGATAGAGCAATTCGAAGAAAGTCGTGTACATAACCTCTCCAGGGCTCGTGCTCGAATAAAGTTTGAATATTCCAAGCAGACGGCCGGATATATTACGCGGCTCGTGTTTCAAACGATCCACAGTTGGCAGTAGAGCCAACCCAATAAACCAAAGACCGTTACACTAGCCAAAATCATCGTTTTAGCTCTAAGGGTTTTGCGTCCTCATTGAAATTCGTGAAACTAGTCTTGCTCGTACAAGCCAGTACGTATCGGCTATTGGAAAGAAGTCAAACAAGAACAAGCAGCCCCGACAACGATAAGTTTGGCATTGAACACATCAAAGGAGGATTATCAGAATGGAAATAAAGAAAGGAAAGGATTCGAAGTGTCTTTTGAAGAACGAAAAAGGGGCAAATATTCAGTAACATTTCAAATGACTTTTAAGAAATTTAATTCAAAATTGTAAAAAAGGTTAATAAAGGCAAGACGAATTTTCTACGCTTATGTTTGTCTTGTCCTCGGTAACCATACAAGCTGGAACTTTCAGGATACTAAAGAACGAAGGAATAACGAAATGAAATAGATTCCAACGGACGTCAAGGATTCAGGACGGGTTGCGAACTCTTTACGAAGGTGCATGCTGATACGATTACCTTTTTTCCCTTGTATGTACCTGTTACGCAATCCTGCTGAACCTCTTTAACTCAGGAGCGTGCACGTTGGAGTATCAGGCATAAGTAATTTTTTTTTCAACAAATTTCTGATCAATCGTGGCTGGAAATCCCTAGAAATCCGACGTGCTACGATCTGCTTGATATATGTTTCATTATAACCCGAAAAGCCACCTGAAAGAGTTTACCTGAAACGACCTGTATATATAGTATGTATGTAGTACACACCTAATACGTATACTGTTCTTCACAATATGCGTTCATATCAGATTATGAATGGACACGTATGAATAGTGAATAGGGGATGCGAATGAACATAAATTCACGCACAATATAGGACGAGCTCATTCGGATAGAATAATGTGGGTAATATGGGTATCTATATTACGAGAAAAAAGAATTTATCCGCTAGGGTGAATGACGTAGGTACACTCTGCCGTAAAAGTTAACATCTTCGCTGACCTTTCTAGCGACTGGCAGTAAATTTTACGATTTATCCTGAAACAAGTATCCATTTTCTAAACGAGGATTCAAGTTGAAAGATTTATCTTGGCTGATTGGATCGAATCGTGTGGTATCTAATGACTGGGATAGATTCCAATAAATTCTAAGGTGAAGATTGATCTAGTGAAATTTTCTAAAATTTCTAAATTTCCACAGAACACTTATCTGCGATAACGACGCATGGATTTAAAAAAAATTAATTTACCCATATTTACTTTTTATTAGTATCGAACTTCATTTCGATCCATTGTAAAATTCACGTAACTTATTGATAGGCAATTATTAAATTGGATTTTTTTAATATGAATTCATATTCTATATTGGATAATTTTCTTGTACACGTAATCCCAGTCTTATGCTTTAATAAGAAATTTCTAAGAATGTTAAAAGGCGAAGAAAAAAATAATAATTAACATAAGCCTTAAATTCCTGAAAAAATTAATGCACGTAGCCCATCAGATAAAAGCTTGATTCAGATATGCCTTATTATTGGTGGAAATCTTATTTTAAATAAAATAATAATCAGAACAGCAAATCTTAGCAGCAATATTTAATTAATCCAATGATATGAATAATTGAGGTAAAGGTACTTGAAAGCTGTACTTGAGTATCAAAAATAGGATAAAAGTGTTTCACACCCCAGACACTAATACCACAAGTGTGAAAAAGAAATATAATAGAAAATGCCAAATCTAATGGATCCTGTGCAAAGCGGCAGATAAGGACTGTTCATCTTCATTAAATGCAATATGTAGAGCGTGTAAAATTATACGTATATGACGTAACCCAACGGTAAGGGATATACAGTCTGTAGTAAAAATATATAGGTATAAATATAGTATCCACTAAATTGACTGATTTAATTATAGAAAATATCTGCAAACATTTGCCCTTGACGTCCAAACACTCTAGATAACTTTAAGGTTGTTTCGCCAGTGATTTGCCGGTAGGAACGTGGCACGTCTCCCAGCGATATTACCGAGCGTCAGTATGACCCATATTAGGCAATTTTTATTTTTTTTTACGTTCCCTACAAAAATTGTCTAACCCATGTCTGCATCACATAAATATGAACCCAGAACAATCGTTTGCTTGGACAATCTGATTTTTATCAATAGAATATTTTTTGCTCCAGCGTTCGGCATGTCATTTAAAATTGATAAACGATAATCGACTGTCGATTCACGAAATTCATAATTTTTTTTTTTTTTCGTTTTCATATACAGATATACCAGATTGGTTTTGTAAAAAAAAAAAACTAGAATTGTCTTCACAATTTAAAAAAGCGTTCTCACACCACTGTTGTCAATTACTACATGCATTACGGTACTTCGTATCCAATTAACAAAGTGATATTCTAAGTTGAGGAAGTTGATTAAGTTTTTTGAGAAGTTTTTTTAATATTTATTTCAAGGAGCAAGAGACGGGCTAACGCTTAAATTTTCGAATTATGGGGGGCTAACTTCCCGGACCCTAAATTTTCAGTGAAAACAGAACCTCTTGTCTGTTTAAGGTTAAGTATACGAATACATATTTAAAAAAAATTAATTTAAAATCTATACGTTGTCGTTGTAAAAATTCAGCGAAATTTATCGGTAATTTCTACGGTCGCCCTAAATCGAATGACTGGGAACTGGACTTGGGAAATTTCGTAGACTCGACAAGGGAAAGTAAAGTAGAAGCACCTTCTTCGGTTTACTACCCTATTAATTTAGTCCCCGATAAATCTCGAAACCTTTCCTTAGACTGTCAGAATGAAATACCTATCCAGACAGAAAGGATTTTTCCAAACTATTATCCGCAACCTAAATGTAATCTTTACATTGAGGTTTTTGTAATACCGTGTCGCAAATCCTTTATTTATTTTTTCTATAGCCAATTTAAAAAATATATATATACAGTCCCAAGTAAAATCCCAATATGAAACCCACGATAAGTGATAAATGACAAATAATTTATAGATCTAAGATATCAAAGTAGATTTTACAAATCTAGAATATATACAGCATCCCTGCACCATCTGTTAAAAGATACATGAGGGTTCTTGTCAATGAATAATTTTTTCATAATAAATTCCATTCTAAATAACAAACAGATACGTACTTACGAATGACAATTTCTATAAATCACGTAATCCCGATATCTTTAATAATTGCTATGATTGGTAAATTATCTCAGATTCAAATTTGGTAATCCTTATCGAACATCAGACGTAAATGTAAACCTAACGGATACATTGAACGATTCGATATCCACTGTCAGCACGTTAATCGTGGTACTGTATATCAGCCTGTAAAATGCACAATAATAAAAGAGTGAGAAAGATAATATATTTTACTAACGTTAGTGTATCTGCGATTATCTCAAACCTTAAGTCACAAATTTGCATCATCTGTTTCAGAGCTGAACTCAGCATCGGGTGTAAGAAAAAGTTGCACAAGAAGGGCGGTCCGGATAATTTCTTGTCGGGGAAGACAAATCTAAGGTCAAAAGGTTTTATATCTACCAGCATAAAAGACACCTGAAAATCTATACGACGTTTTCAAGCCGTCGAACGACTTAATTACTAAAAGTGATTTAAGCTTATTTAGAAGAATTGTGTGAAGGGAAATACATTTATCTCCTTCGATTTTACGTAACCTTTGTCAGTAGCGAATTAAAGGTACCTCAAAACGACGGAATTTCCCGAGAGAAGTTGGAAAATTCCAATTCCACAGTTCCGTCTCTCCTATACCTTTGACCGAGCTAATTTGAATGTACGGCCGTTCCGCAACGTTGATAAATTGTGTGGAAACAAATAATTAGGAAAATGCGAACTCATTGAACATGACAGCGGACAGGAATCTCCATGTTCTATGTAACAATACATCCCCACGCCTTTGAAAAGGGGCTGGGGATGTCCTGGTGAATTGAAAACGACGAAAAAGAAATATATTTTTAATTAACCCTTAATCGGACGTAAACGAAATTTAAAGGATAGTTAAAAAAGGTACAGGTAAATTTTAACTATTTAAAAGTGGCTGATATAAAACACTAAAATTTTACGGGACGTCAATAGTCCTGTATCATGTTGATACAAAAATTATTAATAGATATTCACTATCTATATTTATTGTAAACGCAAAGAATTAAAGCAAGCATCAAAATTAAAAAGCAGGCTGTGAATAGTCCTTGCAGAATAATAAACGGATTATAGGATACTGTTGTCTTGACAATGACAACAATGAAAAACGGCGTGAGAATACGAAATAGAAATTGAGTAAGAATCTCGTCCTCGAAGGAGAATTCTAACCTAAAGACCATCGATTCAAACTGCGAAATCATCGTTAAAGGGGAAGCACCATTCGATCACAGTAAAATGCCGTATACAACTAGCACACCCACAATGTCTCAGATACTAAATTGCTCAACAAATCAGATCAATTGTACGGAGGAAGATTACACACCTTACAGTGCCCGACTGGAAACTTATATTGTTCCTGTGGTCTTTCTTCTAATCCTCGTAATCGGCGTGATGGGTAATGGCGTCCTGGTGCTGACAATTCTGCGGCATGGAAATATGCGAAATGTACCTAATACGTATGTCCTCTCACTGGCGTTAGGCGACCTACTGGTGAGTAGTCTAAGTTTAAAATATTAACGGTCGATAATACAGATTTCTGTATTACCATAAAGAACTAATGTATATTCTTTGAACTTTTTTATACGTTATTCTTGATAAATATGGACTTTTAGATGGGGTTAGCAATGAATTATAATTATATCCACTATCTAATAGCCCTTTAAAAAGCTTTTCATTACAATTCGTCCTTTTATTCTTACTTTTTTTTTAGGTTATACTGACCTGCGTGCCTTTCACCTTCACCGTTTACATCCTAGACTCCTGGCCGTTTGGTCCTATACTTTGTAAGGTTTCTGAGTGTGCCAAGGACATATCTATAGGGGTGTCTGTATTCACATTGACCGCCTTGTCAGCCGATAGATTTTTCGCCATAGTGGATCCAATGCGCAAGCTTCATGCAACTGGTACGGATGAATCTTTTTGTGAGGAGTTATTTACTTTTAAAAAATGTCTATCACTCAATACTCCATTGACAGGGGGTGGAATGCGGGCAACCCGTTTCACTACTGCGATAGCCGCCCTCATTTGGTTACTGGCTATGGTCTGTGCGGTACCAGCATCGTTCTCATATATACGAGTCTTTCGCGTGAATAAAGACGTATCATTCAAGGTGAGCTATTAAATCATTTGTCAATGATTAGAACTATTTATAATTTCCATTTCTTTGATAATCACAATTTTACCACGTTAAAGAGTGAGCTTATCGAATAATTTTTTTCTTCATTTTTCAATTTCTTAGATTTTCTTTATTGTCAATGGTCTACTTTCAGCTATAACGAAACTGTGGATTTACGTTATTCTAATTCTATATATCTTATGTCTCTCGTTACAGGTCTGCTATCCATTTCCAGAAGAATTCGGTCCAAATTATCCTAAGACAGTTCTTATATGTCGCTTCTTCGTCTACTACGTTCTTCCATTGGGAGTTATTACAGTGTTTTATCTTCTTATGGCCAGGCACCTTGTCCAGAGCACACGTAATATGCCTGGCGAGATGCAAGGCCAGGTGAGGTCCAGTGTAAGGATTCAATTTCCTATTGTTCTTTATTACTCCTCCATCTTTACCCTCCATTAACCTGGGCGTGGTCGTGTGGGATATCTGACAATGAGACACCTCAACTCAATGCTTTCTACATAGAAAAATAAAGCCGCGCGACCACTTTCTGGTTAATGCGCGCGGGGAAACATAATTATTTTTAATTTGTCAAAAGACTCATTGAACTCGTGAACAGACAACACCGATATTTGTGTACGTACAACAGGACATTGTCAAGAAATCATATATACATATATATTACAAACCATATTCCTATAACTTGTTATGGGTATACAAGAGTATATGGTTACGTAAAAAGTATTTCCATATTTTCTATATATCAAAACAACAAGAACCTTGCATAAAAAAACATTCCATGAGGGAAAGATACTATTTATGTTTCCTTCTTTGTGCTGACCTATTATATATGTATATGGTCTAGAAAGATATCGTCACGAAATACACTCCAGAGGATTCAATAGACTGAACAACGATTGAGATTTCCCTGTGCACCAGAAGTTTCAGAAACACCAGAGACAACCATGAATATAATTATTAATGTCTATACCACATTTCCGTTAACTCTTTCGGATCCGTTCAATTATTATAAAAAACTGAAAGTTGCGTCAGTCCATGTTTTTGGCCATATGCCAAGCATACGTTACATACTTGAAGAGAGACTCATAAAATTGATAGGGTAGCAGAGTCTCGTGAAATGATAATCTCTCGTATAATCCATTCGAGCGAACGCAGAGCGGCGGTAGTATTATAAAAACTTTCGATTGCTATACCAAAATAGATTATAGCTATTACGAAATCCTGACAATTATCCTTTACGATCATACCCCCTACGCCATCAGGAATTTTAATGTTAACTATACTTAGTAGTATGGGGACCGTCTGTTAGTTTTTCTCTGAATTTAGAATAGACTATTGAGTCGGTTTCAATGTCATATTTACGGTCTCGTAAAACTGGAATATGGTGTCAACCATAACTTTCACCGATATCCTTTCAGCCATTGGACGAATATTACGTTTGTTCTTGCAATCTCCATTGCTTCAACTTATTGATCATGATGTATTTAATGTGCCTTGAAACGGTCCCAAGGAGTCTTTTGACGTAATGCAGCCCTTTTTATTCTGGCAAACGTACGAGATGGTATATGTGCAGAAGGGCGGAAGGGAGTCTGGTGCATCGTTATTGATTTTAGGTGAAACAAGTAAAGGCGCGGAAAAAAGTGGCCAAGATGGTGATGGCCTTCGTTGTTGTATTTGCTGTTTGTTTCTTTCCCCAACACGTCTTCATGCTGTGGTTTTATATTCATCCCACTGCACAAATGGACTACAATGCATTCTGGCATGCATTTCGTATACTGGGATTTTGCCTTGGATTTATGAACAGTTGTATCAATCCTATCGCTCTCTATTGCGTCAGCGGTACCTTTAGAAAATACTTCAACAGGTGACTATTTAATGTTTCCATTGTCGAAGAATCCATACGTTTTCATTTTATATGCATGACACTAGTATCTTTTTTTTTTCCAACAGTCACATAAAGAATTCAGCAGATATAGGTAGACATTTATTTTCCTGCGATACCTTCAAATATATGTAAATTCTCCAATAGCCAGACACGCAAACTTTCAATTTTCCCTTAGTCGATCCTACCTTTATTATTAGAGCCAACATCATCGAAGAGTGAAAGGTCACTGTCACGAATGACAGAACTTTTGCCGGATAATTTGATTTACGTTATAATTCGATCCCCTCAGAAAGCTTGATACCGAAACGTCCTTATTAACGTCATTTCACATATACCATACTATTAAGCTTAAACGCACAAACTGAAATTGGCTTGCAATCATAATAGACGAATTAACTTCCGTTGGTTCGTTTGAGCTGAGTATAACCGTATATATAACAGAGGCTGACACTTGCGCTCTGCGATAGGTATAAATCCAAATAGAAGTACGAAATATATAACATAAATATATAGCAGTACAGCCGTCTAGCTTCTCTATGCTAATGCATGAGGGATCTATGAATTTTACACCTGAAACACACGTCCCAGATTGCTATGTAAAAACATTCCTGTGCCATCTGCATGAAAAGTAGAGATTTCCCACTTGGATGTACTATCGACATACGTATATCTATATTTCTATAAAATTGTCCAACCACCGTCCTATCAAATGATAGAAATGTTTTTATTGACCTCTTCCGTAACAAGTAATATCCTGCTATTTCTTCAATACGATTTCAGATATTTACTGTGCTGCTGCGCCTCGAAAAAGAGACGCACCTCGGCACTTGGTTCGCATCGACGTGGACAGAGTATTTCACTGACGACGTCGCGACGCCATACCAGCAGTAGACGGGGACTGCAAAGCGTCGTACATCTGCCTACTTGGACGCCACCAACCGATGATATTCGTATACGACCGCATCAGCAGGAACAGGAAACCACTGTGACTGCCTACCACAATGGACTGGAGCATCGAATATGAGGTGTGAGCTCTTACGACGAGAGCTATTGTGATCCAGTTTAACTCTGGCCAATGTTATCCCATTCTGCGTAATATGAATCCCTCAGGAATCAAATGTTTAACGAGTAAATTCGATACAGGAAGTCCCGGTACATCCTGAGTTTCCAGCATTGACGATTATCTCCACGCTGGTAGAGGACTGACGACTCTTAGGAAACGAGGATTAGGATTTAGACTCCCTGGTTAGCGTCTAACATCCGTATTCCCAGACACCCTCTAATTACACATGGAAACTTGATAAACTAGAAAGCAGCATAGTACTGTCACGTAGGAGTTTTCATTGGATGTCATTGGGGATACTGTCAACAAAGAAAAATATTAATTCACTCAGTGTCTAAATTTTTAAACGTACAATGGATATAAACAGAAAGAAAATTATATTTACTTCCAATACGTATTACAATATTTCCACTTCTCGCTCGTCACTTAGATATTATAAACTTCAAAGTATCAGTTACTCCATGAAACTTACATGAATTTATCGATTCAGGTCACAGCCGCCTTACTTCTTATGTACCAATACCAAATGCTAGAACCCCAATGCCTAGTAGTCCTCTTTCAATAAGACTTCAGCTTACTTCTACCTTCGCATACTGAATCTTCAACCGTCCGCTACTTCATATGTCCGTTCCTATTGCCTGATACTATCCAGCCACCTTCTATGAGGGAACATTGAGGGTACAAAACCTTCCACACTGACACGCTCCTAAAGAGAACCTCTTTTATAATAACGTTCCAGCTTTTCTTTCTTCTTCAAACTAATATAACCTTCAGATGAAAAGGACCAATGTTCGGTGTACGACTGGTCCTGGATTTCCTGTCCAAATGAATTTTCTTTCCAAGTGTTACCATCGTTTTTGTTATAACCTGAATCTCTAGAACCAGAATCTGTGATAATACATAACCTTCTTTTGATCTACCCCACATAGCGATAACTGCTACCTCCCCAGTTATTCCAGGCCAAACCTTGACAATGGCAAAGTCGTTGGCTGGGGTTTGTTTTCGATTGGTATACCAATCATCTTAGGGCTAACAAACTGTTTCCACTGTCCTTCCTTATCTCCGTCCTCAGGATTATATGGAATTCTAAATTATTATTCTTTTTCAGGTCGCGAACTGGCGAGAGATCAATGGCGATTTCAATATCGCCAAACATGGAGGACACATGGGATACGTACTTTCCAATTTGAAAGTTAACCCTTCAATCTTAGTCCGTCATCGCTTAGGTATTAAATATCCGAGGGAAAGTGAATTTTTTATCACAAAAATAACACATCGTACTGTAGGGTTAATTGAGGTTATTCCTTCATCAGCTAATCGGACCCATACAATGATCTCTCGCTGTGATTCTCAATGACGTTATTGGATTTTGAAGAATTCGAAAAATTCCATGTGATAAATCCAACATATATGGTTAGTCCTTTCAAGAGGGCAAAGGACTTCAGATAACAAAATGTGAGAAAGATGCTTGAAGAATCTTTAACTTTTTTTTTTAATTCTCAAAGCCGTAGCTTACTTTTTGTATGTTTCTAGAAGAGAAAAAAAAAGAATGAAAAGATACTTTCTCTCTTTTCTACACGCTTTTCATTCTTTTAATTTAACTCGTTAATTCTACTATATGATTGGAGCACGCGTATTTTTTGCAAAAATGCTACAGGCATCTATTAAAATATTCTATTCTTATTCTTATAGCCTCACAACTGGTAGATATTACGCGCGGTTAATTTCCTATGAATTTCTTCTCTTACTGATGAAACATCAGGTTACATTTTTATACCCCTGAAGCAACTGCTGCAGGCAAATATATGAAGCAGGTAAGCTCGTTCGATTACCTGTCAGTCTATTCCCTTATACAACTGCTCGACGATATGCACACACAATCCATTAGGCTCCACTCACATTGTACGTATTAAAGAGGAATAAATAAATGTATATATTTTCAATAATTCGCACGAACACGTAAACCCGGCGTTCTTGTAATTCCATTTGTACTCTATCCTCTCTCTAGCCATTCTGTCAATATATTCTTTCGTCTTTTGTCATTTCCTTATTCGTACAATGTTAGAGTAATTACTTGTAATTGCGCTAAAACCGGCTCGTACAATCGTTGTAACGCACGGTATGTAATATACATATATAAATGTATTGTTAATGTTATAAATACAAATAATTCTAGTCATTTACCACTTAAGACGTAAGCTAATCTATGGGGGCCCATTAAGACTAACAACTCGCGGTCCGACATTGTTTAAGTCAATAAGTAAAATATCCATTGCACATGGTAAAGTCGGAAAGCATTTTAAATCCTTAAAGCTAAACCTGCATAAGTTAAATTAGTTACTTTTGTCTTGAACGATCGCGTGCACAAAGTACGAACTATATGTAAAGTTTCCTATGTATAATTGTTATTCCTGGAAGATGTATCGATAGCAGAATAAATGTTATTTAAAAAAATAAAATTAAATACAACTTCCTAATTGCTATATTGTTAATGGCTTGGTAAAATTCAAACTAAATTTCTAAGACAACCCCCGTGGCACAATGCTTTCACATAGTATCAGCATTAAGTCCCAGTTGATAACCGTACTTCGTTTCAACCCCTTGAATAACAGTCGTACTGAAAACTAACATCAAACAAATTGTACTAATTAATGTCAAAGCTCTTCATTCTCACATATATCCCAACTTTGTTCCTATAGTATCTTATATGCCTGTAATATTACAGAATTATTAACCTTTACAAAACCGGAAGCCAGTTTAGTGGCTTTGAACTGTTTCAGTCAATTTTGCTCGCAATTACCCTAAAAATGTCAACCAATGTTCTTCATGTCGGCAAGTGTTCGGTGAGTAGCTAGAGCAGAGCGTGGTGGCTGGGCGAGGGAATAGGAACAAAACCGACTCGACACTAGCGCCCAAGCAATGCTACTACATAGGTGCAGGTAGGCGTATTCCAAAGAGAAAACTTCTTGGAAGGCGCAGTCTACGCGTTACTTTTTAGTATTATTATTATTATATTTTATCGTGCAAACATTAGAATCAAGACAAGAAAAGCACGCATTGGCACGTAAGTAGACTATTTTTTATTGACTTTATAACAAAGTATATATTTTTATGACTGAAATATCATACAAGGCCTGATCTCAGAGTTTATTTTGTAAACAATATTTATTATTATTTAAGCAACAAAAGTAAAAAAGAAATAATGAAACAGGCATGAATGAAACACTATGGTGACGCGAGAGGAGGGTCGACATTTTCACCGTTCAACCCAATGACATTGATAAAAAAAAGTTGTAAAAATAAAAAAGTGAGTCGAAAACGTGCCGGTCTTGTAAAGGCTAAGAAAATCTAAGACGCATGCATGGGTCTGTCTAAATGATTATTAATTATTGTCCTACTCATATATCATTCCGTCATCTTTCCATGGAAAATATTCACTGAAGGCTAATATATTAGACGACGCTCGTTACTAGCAAGCCGATCACGATACATAAATTAGCACGGTTGAATAAGCTCAGTATCATCCCTTAACACACTCTGATATCATCGTGGCAGCTATCTAATGGTTAATTCTATTCGCGATGGCAGCGCCACAAATTACTCATAGCCAATCACAAGCCAGATCGCTGATGACGAAGTTTATCCGCGCCTTCTGAACTTCGACCTGTCGCGTGGCAAATTATGATAGCCGTCTTGGTAGTTTTCATGGATATTAATAGTTATATCGTGAATTTAGGCAGATATTTTCGGTAAAACGGTCATTTCCTGATTCCCCGTCACCCCACTATACCACATGTATTACGGTTAGCACTGTTTCATTTAACGCTCTAAACTCTAAGAACGCATTTTGAATGTTCACCGGAATCTTACTGTATTACTGTAAACTTATTAAATAAATGTTAAGCCTAACGCTTTTCATTTGTCATGCATTGGAAGTCACGTTGCGTGTATCTCGTAGCATCTCGGATATCCGATGTGAGGTTTCCTCTGCTTGTCTTCCTGTAATGAACCAGATCATTTGCATAACTCTACATAATAGTCGAAGAGACATGTCGTACCTCATTGATTGTATTTCGAAATACATAGGATCGAAGCTTGTTTTCACCTTAAGCTGCTGACAATATTTCCTTTCCTTGTGATATTTCAAGAATTCAGGATAAGAACCTGATGTTATTGACCCTGCTGAAAATTCATAAAAATTTCTCTTACATTTTCCTCCCGGATCATAAATATTTATATAAAAATTGTATAACTCGTAACGCTTGTAAAATTTTTTAAACAGGGACATTAATATAATCGCAATGTGATAAAGAAATTTAAAAAATGATACTTCACGAATTTATTATTTCAATCTCAAGAAAAATTTCTCACTTTATATATTATTTACGTAGCTACCATACATAACTTGTATCGTTTCTGTCCCGTATACCTTTTTGCGAATAAATATAACCCACCCCCCTGCCCCCAACCCAGCAAACACGTATGTCATATTTTTATATCTCTTATACAAAGTTATTCATACCAAACACACAGGCTGAAGTAAGCCTGTGCACTTGATTTTTATTGTAAAACCACCATCAGGTGGTACGTTTGTACAGAAATAGTTGCTGTATAATGTTGAATTTAGGTAACTAAAACGTAACCGTTACAAGCTGTATTTATTGTGTGTAAACTATACTGAGTTATTTTTGTCCATCGCTAAATTGCTATCTCTTTATGGTAATAAAAATTCATTGAAAAATAACTCGAAGCTTTAGGATTCTGACAAGTGGGCAAAAAAATCAAATACACTACCCATTCTAATTTCGTTTTAACGTATTTATGTAGGAACATAGGATACGTTCAAAAATTCACTGAGAGTATGGTTATGACTCGCTCTATTACATGCAGGTAAACAGGAACACGGCACTCGTAGTACTACTAATGAATTTTGGAACGTGTCCATGGTAACTTTATTCAAAGAAAAAAAGCGAAGAACTTTCAAAACAGCATGACTCTTGCCAAGATTGAAGGTATGTTCCGAATATTACTGCCAGTACTGTGATCAACGCTGTGTCCTTATTCATTCATACGCATCTAAGAGAGATGTAATTACTTTTACAGTACTGTCAGTAAATTTCGGAACACATCCTAAGTTTCATAAAAAAAAAAAAAAAAAAAAAAAAAAAAAAAAAAAAAAAAAAATCAGTAATACGATTCGTAAATTTTTTAAATGTCAAACAACCGCCATATCATCGTCATGTCAAATCACGCGTAATACACATAACCGTATGAAAAAGAATTACTAATAATTTCAACGGAGTCCATTTACATTTAAAATAAGAATGGAAAGAAGCGCAAATCTCGTGGACTCGTTTGTAAAGATGAACACAAAGTAAGAGCCTAGTAATTTTTCCGTATAATATAAATCCGTGAGAAATTCCAAATAATTCATGTTACTAGACTGACAAGATTGAGACAGCACACGCGGAAATTAGTCCGGGAGGAAAATGCAATGATTGAAGGAAACGAAGGTAGGTAAGCTGGGGTTAGGATGATAGCAGCTTTAAAACGGTGATTACCAGTGGGTATAAGGAATGTAGAACGTCGTAGTAGCTTCTTTAACGGACGGGATAATTCCGTAAAAAAATGACGTCGATGCAATAAAGCTGCTACCTTCACACTGAAGAATCCGACGAGGTGAAAATTGAAAAGTCATCGTGTCCTGAGTGTCAAGGCATTCCAGACGCCGGGAAGAAGGTGCCTCACATCAGTGACCTCTGCTCTGCTGACAAGCAACGTATAGCAGAATTAGTCAAAACACTCGCAGAGTAAGAATTAGCACGAAAATCTAAAAATCTATTCGGACTACATTGATATCAGCGTCAGAGTTGAGAAAAACAAGATCTCTGAGTATTATTTTTACGAAATTTAATTCGTAAGCAATTTCCTTTGAAATACATGTGTAGTGTGCGCAATTCAATCCCATTCTGCCACCGTAAAGCCAGTGCAGCTTTGACCTACCATTTCATAATTCATCTAAACTGATACGAATGTACTGCTGAGACACCTTGTCTGTTTTATATATATTTTTTAATCTTTACTAATCAGCACTCTTTTCGTAACTAATTCTATAGATGTACTCAAGAGAAGCATAAGCTCGAAGACGAATTATCAGTATGCAAATCGGAAAACGAGGCTCTACAAGATCGATTTCAGCTTCGAACTTCTGAATACGAAGCTGATAAAGATAGATTGAAGTCTAAGGTTAGTGTTATTTATTTTATCTTTCGTTATGTTCATTTATTCTGTACGATTGTGCTATAGCTTTCAAATGTTACTACGGAAATGGCTAAGTTAAAGATTCAAACGAGCCAGTCGCTGGAACTCTTAACGCGACAATTTAGCATGCAAGAGTCTCAATTCACGAAACTTACCGAGACGGTAAGAGATTTATTAGGTGAGAAAATGCAACTTCAAAATATACTTATCGAACGAGAAATGAAAGTGAGCGTCGCTGAGGCAAAGCTGGAAAGAATGAAGGAGAGTATGGAAATGGAGAAACTTATTTTTCTGAAAGAACATGCCAAGAATGTTACTCAAAGATTCGATAAGTCTTGCCAAGTGTCGCCATCTTGTCAAACTGTCATCACACTTCCATCCTACTGTCAAACTCCTTCGGTCGATCGAACGAATTCGAAAAAGGATTTACCTAGGACAAGACAAACGAAAAATAAAGACGATCTCGAGGCACCGACTACAGAAGGATTACTCTTGCGTGAATTATTCTACAAATCTTCGAACGAGCCTGAAGTTTTGAATATATTTCCAATACTGCCACAACACTGAGTCGAAACGCGATGCTTGCAGGTAATGTATTTTTAATATTCCTTTCGATTTTCCGTATCTGCGAATAACACTGTGACAGATATAAATATCGCAAATAATAGGAACATGGCTGTCCAACGATATGTATGCTACTACGTTGCTCTATGCGAAGATTAATAACTACGTAATTCATTTGACGCAAGCAATCCGATTTCGTACGGAATCTCTCATCTTTCCACTTTTTCTCTCCCACGTACACAGGCTCTGCGGAAAACAAGAGGAATTACTCACCGAGATTTCATTTAGTATATCACAAATGTCCCGTATTTCTCTTTCACGTGTGATTCCTATAATTCGTGCACGTGTTATTCTTATTCTGTCAAGCACACTTTATATCTATGGGAATGCATACAGTTACCGAGGTGATATTACCACAGACAGTCACGGCCTCATGGAACTTTGTGTTTGACGATTAGTGAGCGCTGCGGGCACGTGAGATATGCTGGAACTAACATAGCAATTCTGGAGCATATTGAAAATCCATAAATTTTGTTTTAGTCACATAATACATTAGGGTCAACCCTCTTTACCAATATTTGATAATGCAGTTTACCGATAGTCTATTATCACACTGACTGGCACATCTCCCTTACGAGGAGACAGCCATAAAGAAAGAAAAGCTTCAAACACTGAATACTTTTTGAGACACGCGAGATACGTCAATTTTCATGATCACTGAATTACGATCGCTGAAACTAGCCTTTCGCACGAAAATAATCATATTTCTAACTCAGATCAATTTATTATCCGAAACACTTTGATTAGGAGCTATTAAGTAATGATATTTGGAATCCTGGAAATGTAATAACATACCCACGATTCGCGTGCATATCGGTACTGATGAAATCGACCGCGGTCATTTGTCTTTTCAGATATAAACTGTAATTTATCTTTTATATTCACCCCGCATAGTGATAATTTTCCAAGTTTAATTGCTATACTTTTGTAGAATTCTAAACTATTTCCAGCACTTTAAATTAAGCATTATTAATTAAGGGTTCCGCACACTTGTATTGACTTAAGTTTGAAAATTCTACTGCTCCGTATGCTAATGAATTAATGAATACTCAATGAGCTTAAAATTCTTCATGCTTTTAAATAATAGAGAAAATAACATAAGAACGTTCAACAATTTATTACCAATTATTTAAGTGATATACGGTATATTACAATTTTTAGAAAATCTTCTTTTCGTTTAATTATTCGAAATTGACGTTTTCCAAGGATACAATTTATACGTAGATACTATGTTATAATATGCTTTTGTAATATACACACCGTGCAAGTTATTGTGGAACTTAATTGCGGGTGCAGGTGAAGCAGTTTTATTATATTATATATGGCTTTATTGTATTTTTACTTTTTATAGACCTACACGAGCGGTATCTTTGGGAATATTGTCATGGTCGCAGGAACCGTTATAACTGCAATAAAATTTCACAATGCTGAAACAAGATAACTTTTAACGAGTATTTCGAATACGATATTGAAATATGTCGTGAACCGAATAAAAGGCAATATATGAAACCTTAGAATGTATACGTACAAGTTCTTGTCATTGTTAATATATGCATGTTTGTTTTTATTATACTTCAATTGTATCTCAAGATTTTCTATATTAAATATGGCAGAGTTTAAATAAAAATTTATCAAATTAGTTTCGGTAAGATAAATCTGTTCAGAGGTCACTTTCAGTTATTAAATCAACACGGCGGCAAACGGCAACTCCGGTGCAGTGCTTTTGATAAATATAAGTATACAACGTTTAACATTAATATGAAATGGTAAAATTGAAGGTAACAATACATATGTATGGCTATTAACTAACAACTTGTATGTATGTAATTTGTACAATATTTTTGACCTCTTTGGTCTACTTTGAAAATATCAGCCTTCAGAACCAAATGCTTCACAATTCTTTGACCCGAATTACTTACAAAATATATGTTTTAAAACTCTCGTTTATGAGTAGAGAGAAGGACCTCCTGCGGAGATTTTATGAAACGGTATCATTACTGAGAGCTCCGTCGGCAAAGTTACAGAGACCAAGACACTGTGAGGAGGTAAAGGAGAATTCACTGTCGGTGGGAATAACAAAGCTATTTAAAGCAATTTACTCACAAGATCGAGTGGATCCCTGTGTTATATTTATCAATTTATTATTAAGAGTAAATTTAAAATTCATGCAGAAATTGTATCGTTACCTAATAATAATCGTCGGGTCATGTGTACTTAAACACATCCATAAAACATTTAGGGAAATTATTCATTTTTATTATTTATATAAATGTGGCGTGCGTTTACTTCTTAGACTTCTTTTCCTCAGCAGCCCTAGTTACATCGTCAGGATTCTCCGCAACATATTCATAGCAAACTGGATTATCGGACAACTGCCAAACGAAAAAATTAGGTCCGTTCGTGCAATTGTTTTTATGTGCTCCGAAATACTATAGGTGTTTTCAAAATGAGCAGAGATCGCTGAGAGCACGTTATGTCTCGATCAACTGCATGCAATAACCCAGGGCATCTATTGCGTAATTCAAATACAGTGAAAATACGAAAACTCCAAGACCATCATAGGAAGGTCTCTCCTCACTCCCCGAGTCCTGCACAACGAATTTGCGCGCACAGAATTTTGGCTAACTTCCAGTACTTCTAAATATTTTTAGCCACGATTTTTGAATTTTAAGTGCTAATATCTAATTTCAATTTGAGCGTAGTTCATTTTCGATGTTTTACAATATCAATTCACTTTTTATCTTCTCCGTATATTTTGTGAAATTTTGATTTAGTCTCAATTTTATATTTTGAATAAATTTCGAAAGTAAGTCAAGATCCAATAATGTTTAGTAACCTTTGGAATGCTTTATTCAATGTTTCGAATATTCCATTTTATATGCAACTGATATTTTCCTTCTTCTTCTTGCGGGATATCCAACTATTCGGGAATCGCAGAGGTTTGAATATTTGTATTACTAGTAGCGGCAGAGTTGAGTAGGGAGATTGCCAATGAGCCAATTTTCGGGGTCCAAGTTTTATTTTTCATATTTGAAAGTAATATAAATAATGATTGAAATTACACATTCAAAATTTTACATTCAATAGTTTACTTGTTTAAAATTTTAGTACTGGAATGATTACTAACTATATGGCACTGATTCAAAATGGCTACCGTCAATTGTTATGTATGTAATGTGCTATACACAACATGTTCAGTTTTAAAAACTTATTAAATATTATATAAAAATATTTATTATGAGACAAACCATTATTTTCTCGCCAAAGTTAATATCTAAGATAGTCGCTGACAATGTCTACAAATGTACTTTAATAAGACACGCTTCCACGGGCTTACAACTATGGGTATTGTACTTTTTATAGGTTATCTATCTAGCGCGAACATATAACAATACGATACTGATTTAGTTTTAGTTTAATTAGAAGCAGAGATCAATTATTTAAAATATACAATAACCAACAGCAACATTAAAATGTAGAGTTTCTTAATGCTGTTTTTTTTATTGAAAAAGAAATCATGCTTATTAATTTTAATATGTACTCGTAAATTATAATCAGTGTATATTCCAATTTATGATGTTTGAAGCTTTTTAAATATAAAATACATTAATGTATTACATTTACTATTATAAGGAAGATTTTTTCTTTTGTGTAAAATTGAATATTCTGTCTATTAAAGCTTTTCCATTAATTGTTTGCAGGAACAAGATATAAACATTGAAATAAAGCACAAAATAGAAAATTATTGGAAAGATAAAGTAAATAGAATATCAAATAATGATAGTTCGAAGGAAAAGTTTTACGTATTATCTATGTTCCCATATCCATCCGGGGCATTACACATGGGACATGTGCGAGTTTATTCTATAAGTGATTCCATTGCACGATTCTCTAGAATGAAAGGTAAACTTATTAGTGTAATATTATTTTGTACCAGTTACAATTTGCATCTGCTAGAAATTTGTATGTGCAAGTTCAGAAAGTTGATATCACATATTTTTGCTTTAGTGTTGATTGATATTGATCATCCTATACAAGTTTTGAAAGTTTATATGTAAGATAACTATATTGAATGTGTATATACATAGTTAAATGGAGTACTTTCTAAAAGCTTTTTAATTTTAGGAAAATATGTGATACATCCTATCGGCTGGGATGCTTTTGGTTTACCTGCAGAAAATGCTGCTATAGAGAAAGACATAGATCCTGCAGAATGGACGAAACAAAATATTGAAAATATGCGAGAGCAATTAAATACCTTAGGATGTTCATTTGACTGGGATCGAGAATTGTCAACTTGTGATCCCAAATATTACAAATGGACACAGGAGCTTTTCTTAAAACTATTCGATAGAGGTTTAATTTATCAGAAAGAAGCCTTTGTTAATTGGGATCCAGTGGATCAAACAGTCTTAGCTGATGAACAAGTCGACTCAAACAATCGATCTTGGAGATCTGGTGCTAAAGTTGAGAAAAAGTTATTAAATCAGTGGTTCATTAAAACCACAAAATTTGCCAAGTAATTCTTATATTTTTCTAAATTCATATATTATGAAAACAGCATAATACAATATGTACATATATTTTTTGGTTTCAGACCCTTATTGGATGGTTTAACTAATCCAATGCTCCGAAATTGGCGCGATATTATAAAGCTACAACAACATTGGATAGGAGATTGCAATGGTACAAACTTCGAATTTAAAGTACTGTCAAATGTCCCAGGGTATCCAAAAACATTATCACTGTGGACCGACAAACCAGAACGCATCGAGCAGACCAAGTTTGTCGCAATTAGTACAAGAAGTATTTTGAACCAAATTGAAGACTCTGAATGTGTTGGTACAGAAAAACGATTGAGTGCTACAATCTTAAATCCCTTTACCGGAGAAGAATTGCCCATATTTTCAACAAATAAAATAAAATTTACAAGATTTAGAGATAATCATCTAGGTATACCTTGTGAGTCTGAAAACGACGCAAGTTTTTGCAATAGCATGGGAATCCACTTCGAAGCAGCGAAAGAACTTTCGCCTGAAGAACGAGAGCAAAAAATTTCCAAAATTCTCAATACAGCCAAACAATTGAATATAGGTGGCTATCCAGTTAGTTTCAAACTCAGAGATTGGTTGATATCACGTCAACGCTATTGGGGCACACCCATTCCAATAATACATTGTGAAAATTGCGGTGTTCAACCAGTACCAAGGAAAGACCTTCCAGTAGAACTTCCAAAAATGAGCAACACCATCAGAAAGTCATCCTCGTTAGCCGAGGTCACTGACTGGGTTAAAACTCAATGTCCTAAATGCGGGAAGAGTGCGAAAAGAGAAGTCGACACAATGGACACGTTTGTCGACAGTTCATGGTATTTTATGAGATACATTGACTCAAATAATGATAAGGAAATCTTTGCAAAAGATAAAGCTAATCAAATGTTACCTGTTGATCTATACATCGGAGGAAAGGAACACGGTATTTAAATGCTGATCAATTACTGAGCTAATAAAATTTGCATGTTACAATTTATATTTATTCCTATTAGGCCGAAAAAAATATAATTGAGGTTCTAAATATACTCTATTTTTTATAGCTGTCTTACACCTTTATTATGCACGATTTATGAATCATTTTCTGCATTCGGAGGGGTTATTACCAACATCCGAACCCTTCAAACAACTTCTTGTCCAAGGAATGGTAATGGGCATGTCCCATAGGACTAATGATTCTGGCAAATACCTCAAGGCAGACGAAGTGGAAAAGGTTGGAGAAGTATACGTTGAAAAGAGTACCGGAAATCCTGTAACTAGTTCTTGGGAAAAGATGTCTAAATCGAAGTATAACGGGGTGGATCCTTCTGAAATGTTTGAAAACTATGGCACCGATACCACCAGGTTGCTCATTTTAGCAGATGTTGCACCAACCTCACATAGAAATTGGTCAACAGCTAGTAAGAAATTTAAAACTTTTTGTATACATTTTCGTACAATGTAGATGCAAACAAGTATGCTTTGAGACATTTTCGCAGCTGGCATGTGGTCCTCTACTCAGGTAGCAATTTTTTCGATGTTACGAAGAAGTCATCCGAATATTATGTCCGCCAAAAAGGCATCTTGAAGATATTCGACGTCCGAAAATTGACTGTCGGACATAAGGTAGCTTACAGATAACGTTCTAGCGGACATATGGAACCCATTTGAATGACTTTTTCATAATATCGAAAAAATTGCTACTTGGTTAATGAGGCCATAAAAGCCATCAAGGAGCAAGAGAGATAAAGACGTTTTCGCGTGATCGTAAAGCTCATATGCTTCACTAGGCAGATATTTGTAATTAAGGCAAAACTTACTTTGAAGAATATGTCAGTTCAATATTTTATTGTAATAATAAGTGATTGAGAACCGAAGTTTTCTATTTATAAAATTCTAATAATATTCATTGTTTTTAGCATTTCCCGGTATTCTGGGTTGGCAACATCGGCTGTGGATAACCGTGAGACAATTTTTAAAATGCCGAAATGAACTGACAAATCAAATTATAGCAAAGCCACCGAGCAAAAAGTTTATTGAAGAAAACGCATATATGTTCGACAGTCGAAATTTCTACGTAAAGGGTGTCACTTTTAACATAGTTGACTCGCAGCAACTCAGTGTGGGCATATCGAAGATGCAAGGATTAACAAATAGGTGAGTAAGGAATTCTTTTACTAGAATATTTGGCCATGGAATTCTACAGCTGCGAATAATTCATATATTCTGATATTTCACAGTATACGAAAAGCATCATCAGAATGCATCGCAAAAAGTCGTGAATTCGAACGTGCTTTGGCTGCACAAATAATAATGTTAGCACCATTAGCCCCGCATTTTGCTTCAGAATTATGGGCTGGTTTTTGTTCAGCCCCTCATAGACTTGCAAATGATGGAGACATTCAATGGGATAAGGATGTTTTGGAACAAAGTTGGCCGGAAGTGGACATGGATTACAAATTAAACGTCACTGTTTATGTAAGAGTGCAAGGATTATTCATATTATTAATTACTATTTGTTGAATTTATCAAATTCAAAAATTACCTTATATAATCATTATTTTACCAAAACCACAAAATTTGCCTACTTACTATTCTGTATCATATCATATTTCTTTAGAGGTCCAGAAATAGATTTTTATTTTTTACACATCTTTGCAAATGTTTAAATAATGCTCCTCTTTTTCTAGATAAATAATGGTGAAATCTCGAAGATTAAAATCCCCCGTAAAACGTTGGATAACATATCGGCTGAAGAATTGGCGTCACTAGTCACCAACCACGAGACAGTTGCACCGCGCATCAGGAAGAGGATCATTAGCGAAATCACTGTTCACGTAGAGGAAGGCTGCGATGGAAGTTGTTATATTAAAACAATGAAAAATGTGGAAAATAATTTGAAGCAAGGATACAGTGTAAAAGTGCAATCTTGTTAAAAAAAATCCAGTGCTTCTTACATACATAATCGAAAAACTCGATTAATTGTAGAACGATTAGCAGAGAAATGTATAAATGAGTTATTAGTGTATAAAATAAATAATTTGTTATGTTAGAAGTACACAACGTAGAAAGTTCAATTTTTTAAACTAGATTAAAGATTCAAAGATACGAAATATTTTTTAGGAATTTGAATTCACATAAATTTGTTCACCTTATTTCACTTTCTCCAGAATAACCATTATGTGGTATGCTTTGTAAAAATTGAATATATTCATGTGGAAGTCCATTTTCACGTGCTCCACTTAATATCGTGTTCCTGTAATGAAATGTTTTTAAGACCAAGAGTTTTAATTTATATTTTAACAGTAAACTGTTTTGTGTTGTTTTATAATTTACATCACGTTGTTTCTTAAATATCTGTTGGCTGTCAGTTATTATTTACTGTCGATTCAAATTGTTTAAAACCTTTGAAACCGTTTTATATACAAACGAATTGTGTAATAAAACTGAATACTTACAAATAAAGTGGGGAAGGTCTTCGTTCTTCCGGTAACAATTCTGTTGTCACATTTTCCTCAGGATTTTTACACTGTTGATAAACTCTACATTGAAGACTTGTTCCATTAGGTGTTTCCACATCAACTGTCATTGGAAAATATATTTTATCTGCAACACCTTCTTGTTCATCTAAATCTGACATGTTGCTGTTGTCAATTTCCCATATTACTCCCCATACATGTGAATTCTCTGTTGGAACTATAGTAGCAGCAGCACCATGCCATCTTTTTGAAAATGTTATAAAATCAAGCCTGAAGTTCTGCAAACATAATTTTCAGTTCAATAAAATATGATAATGGGCTTTCGGCTCGTGCCGTTGTGTTACTCGTGTGCGGCTCGTGCGAATAACTTCATCGCCTGCCTATAAAGTTCGCTTTCTCGCACTCGTATCGCAAAGTACTATTATCAACTCAATATATTAAAAAATGATTTTATAACAGTTCAAGTAAAATAAAATACAATATAGTGTATAAAAGTTAAAAAAAGGGTGTTCTGATTTTTGGTTTGCATTAATGCTCTTTACTCATTATTTGAAGTTCATTGAAATAAAAGAGTTATAAAGTATTTTCGAAATATCTACAGGGTTAGTCAGTACAAACGCACCAGCAGAAGTTGGCCGCAAGTGGCTGACACGGCAGTGCGGCCTCTTCAAAAAATGACATGTGACTGTGACCGATTCCCATAAGCGCAAACTGACAGTTCGCATAGCAATAAGGTTATTGAAATATTTCGATAGTTTGATTACTGAAATAATTAATTAATATTGTAATGACAAAATATAATATCAGTTAAGGTTTATTTTCACAACCGATTTTTGCCATAAAAACATTTCATAAGCGCAAACTGACAGTTCGCATAGCAATAAGGTTATTGAAATATTTCGATAGTTTGATTACTGAAATAATTAATTAATATTGTAATGACAAAATATAATATCAGTTAAGGTTTATTTTCACAACCGATTTTTGCCATAAAAACATTTCAATTGATTTTTAAATTAATTGCAGCATTGTATTGCAGAATTGCAGTTGTGATCGTTACTTGGAAATATCAAAATTGTGAATATTTTAAACTTTACATTATTTTAATTGCAATCTGTTGTGAAAATAAATCTTAAATGAAATTACATTTTGTCATTACAAATATTAATTAATTATTTCAGTAACCTAACTATTCAAATATTTCAATAACCTTATTCCTATGCGAACTGTCAGTTTGTGCTTATGGGAATGGGTCACAGTCACATGTCATTTTTTAAAGAGGCCATACTGCCGTATCGGTCACTTGCGGCCAACTTCTGCTGGTACATTTCTACTGACTAACCCTGTATATAGAACAAAAAAGCAATATTTAGAATATTAAAAAAAGTATAACAAAAAGTTCAGATAACCTTAAATCTGTGAGTCATTTACAAAAATAAATAAATATTTCTATATCATAAAAATAGTCAACCACAAACTATAAGGTCGTGCGTATTTTAAATAATTACATAAATAAGGGTACCTTCAAACGGCCGATGTCTTTTTTTATAGCAGTTGGATTATTTATACGAATTCGTTTGGTAAGCAAGTTGCTTCCATAAGCAAAGTACAGAAATGAATTGGCCATATTTATACAAAGTTTTGTTAAATTGCACGGTGGCTGCACTTGTCCGTCCTCGATGAACCTTTCCTTCGTCAAATATCCTTGACAACAATAAAATTGAATTGACTTATAAATCCAATTTACGTTTATTGAAGAAATATCACTCCCACTCTTGTTTAACTATTTGTCTATGTATATGATACCGTCGATTTGATTCCTTATTAATGCCAAGCTGAATTATGGAAATGAAACCTTTGTAAATTTCAAATTAAAATTAAATCATATACGTCAACTACAGTAGTAATAAAATATATTCTTTTATCAATTCAATTTTAAATATAAAGCAGTGCATTGTCGTTGCTTATCACAGCAGACTTGGAGCACAGATTGAGCTTTAGCCATCTGTAGATCTTAAAGTATCCGGTCAACACATACATATTTCACGCTGAATTTTGCGTCAAATTGCTGTTAACTTTATAACTGTCCAAAAGAAAGTCTACAAAGATCAACTTCTAATGTGTCGTAGAATTTACGTTGATTTTGACAAATTCTTCGTTCAATCTTTTGACATGATTGAACTCGTGATTTTAAGCATTGATCGTCTGAAATTTTACGTTAAGTTTGCGTTGTATGTATGTCATGATGATCTAACTCATTTCAGATATATATACTCATCTTACAACTCTCTATAGTCATATATTTCCATAATTTTTTGAAAACCATATGCAATTTGTTAAAAATTGCATTGCTTGCAGTGTCAAAAAAACACATTAAACTCATAGACCGATATACATAAATATACACATAAACATACGGTAAAAGTATATCAAAGTCCATAGAGATAAATTACTATTGATTAACAGAAATTTATCTTACCTGAGATGATTAATAAAATCTGAGTAGATCAAGAGTTTTCAGTTTTCGTAGATCACAGAAACAGATTTCAGAATACAGTAAATTTTAAAAAGTATCTATCAAGGTGAGACTGATTAAACGCACTGACTGTTCGCCCTTTCCAACATTGTATTTATATGAGGTTGAATGCCCTCCTAGTTCAATACTGCGGTTATTTTGATTTTGCTCGTTATCGTAACCATGTATTATTATCATAAATAAGCTGTCAGTTGCGTGATACCTCATAAAAATAATATAACCAACATGCACTGTAACGGAAAAGTAACACGATAATGTAATAACTACGAAAACCATAGGAGTATGATTACTTTAAAAAATACCTATAAGTGATACGAATAATTGATAAGAATTCCCTTATCCGTTTCGTATAAAAGAATTGTTAAATATATCTAATCATGAATGTATGTGTAGCAGCGTGCTGTTATATATATATTATTATAAACTAAATTTTTCTATACTTTATAGATATAAAATAGTTCTGAAACTTGTCTACTGGAAAATTTTAACTTTTGAAGACGAGTTTGACAGATAATAATATAATAATGGCAACAAACATGAGAATAGACTGTGTTCCCACTCGTGCAGGAACAATGAAAGACATTACATTGGCAAAACAGGATTGTAATAAGTTTCAAGTTGAATATGATATATCGTCTGGTATATGTTAATTGGCATTGCCTTATTAAAAAAAAAATTTGTGCATATAAATATATATTTATACAATATTCTCTACATATATTCTTATACATTGCAGAACAAGTTCTTTTAAATCAATCATTTAAAGATTCTCCGAGGCTAAAAAAAGAAATAAGTAATTGTGACGTCTTAGCGCTCCCTTTCACAGAACATTTAAGATACCAAAAAATACGCGCAATGTCTATTGAGAATGAAAATATATACAAGTTTTGGAAACAGTTTCTATGTGACTTACCTCATTCAGAGAATAAATTCATTCCAAAAATTAATAATAAGTAAGAATTAACATATAATTAGGTTTAATAATGAGGTCAACAATGATTCTTAATTACGTAAATTTAGTCTTGTGAACTTCAGCAACTAAAACGTAGTTCTTATGTTTGTTGTAATTAGATATTGGCGGTGGAAGAATTACATCAAATATGTTCCAAACGAAAATTACATTAATATTAAAAAAAGTATGTCATCCGGACCAAAATTAGACAATGTCGGTCGTCTACCAATTCCAGCAGATGAATTACCAACTTACCGTGGATATCGCAACACTGGTTTATTGCTCAAATCAAAGGACAAAATTAATAATAAAAAAAGATCATAGGCTTATGGTTACCAATTAGGAAAATTTCAGGTATTTCTATTTTTACATTATAAAAAGTAATTATCAGCTTTTACCAATAGTATAATATTGGTTCTTAACCAAATTTGTAGTTTTGGTAAATTTCTTGGAACATGTCACGACAATTGATTTTTACATTTAACTTAGCGCATAAAAGAAACACTCCAGATAACTTTCTATGAAGACTGTAAATTTCTTCTGGCGGAGGACAAAGTCGGTGATTTATTATGGTAGGAACTAGCCTTTGAATACTGAAAAGAAATTACTTTGATTAGTTCAGAACCATAATAATATTTAATATTGTTACAATGATTTACCTTTTTGTTACATTTTGCCCGCCAAAATCGAAATATTCATGATTTTTGTCGAAAACTTGACCCAAAATCATAACAGTATTTACATGAGCTTCTTCCATGACCTGACATTAAAAAAATACATTAACTCACTTTTCTTTCTTTACCTAACTGTAAATTTTGATGTATATATACAATTATAATATTATGCTTTCACGTACCTTGGATTCGTAACCTGTTAAGAATCCCATTTTTCGAGATAGTTTTAAAACTTTATCACGATCTCTTTCACTCGCACCTTTTATAACTTCTATGTATTGATCCATAAAGTTTTTTTCATAAGATCTGCATGCCCCAAAATCCAACAAGGTCAACTAAAAGGTATTCGAATGCATTGAAGTACCTAATTCTATTAATTTATTCAGATAATAAATAATAACTGCAGTATCGTAATAATAATTACCTGCTTCGTTTCAGGATTATAAAAGAAATTGGACCAATTGGGATCAGTTTGCATGTAGCGAAAGACAAATAATTCTTTTAAACATAACTTCATTATCAGTCTGCATATGTGATCACGAGTTTCAATATCCATATCCACACATTTGTCTACTGGAGTACCATCCACAAGTTCCGTTGTGAACACTTGTTTTGTACTAAATTCATCTAGAGCAGAATTTAAATAATTCGTTACTATATTATACAGAATGATTAATATTCCTTAATGCTGTTTGAGTTAGCATCGCCTTGATATTTTTAAACAACCTTACCTATTACTTGCGGTGCATAATATTCCGGATAAGGTTTTATAAGCTCTCTATATTTTTTTGTACATTCGGCCTCTCGTATATAATCTACTTCCCATGCCAGTTCTCTTTTAGCAACTTCAACAATGTTATCGATGAACATTCCCTCGGGAAAAATATTCCATACCTGAAAATTATAAACTTGGTTCATGTCCATGCTCACGTATTTAATGAGAAAAAAGAACATGAAGAAGTTTAGAAATGCAGCGTTTTTATATACCTTCATTACACCAACCAAATTTTCTATATCGCTCTGAATTCCTAAAGCTACTCCAGGGTATTGAATTTTTATAGCTACACTTCGACCATCAAGTAAAGTACCAAGATGTACTTGACCTAAGGCAATGAATATTTTCAGTATGTTAAGAATTTAAACTTTATTGAAGTTTATAAAATTAAAGAACAAGCATACCTATAGAAGCAGCAGCAAAAGGTTTCTCTTCGAACATTGTTAACTTTTTTCTCCAATCAGATCCCAGTTCGTTTGTTAATACTTTCTGAAAATTGTATAGTTCTGTGAAAATGTTATTGTGACAAAATTGATTCATATGATTCATATCATAATATAAAATGTACATTGTCATCATTATTGTGATAGTATAAAAAGTATACACTATTATTAAATACCTGAACTTGCCAAGCTGGCATAAAGTCTGCACTTTGTCGAACTCTTTCGAAAGCTTTTTGCAAATGGGGACTTATGATGCTATTATCCTGAATACTCAAAATTTGACCAATTTTTAAAGCTGCCCCTATTAATTGAAATGGTTAATAAATTGTTATTTTTGTTAATATCATGTGCTTCATCTAACACTTATGATCTGAACTTACCTCTTACTTTACATAAAGTTTCAACAATTCGTTCTGCATTTGCTTGCGAGAGGAACATACTATCAACGGTTTGTCCAACACTCTGTTCTTTCAGTTTAAGAGTTCTCCGTGTGTATTCTGCTAAAGTACCAATTCCAAGTCCTACACCAAGCGTCCCAAAACTTATCATTCTTTGCAGACGTGTTGATGGAACCTTTCTTTCTTTGGCATTTGCTGAAAGCTATTTTCACTTATTGATCAATACTGTTATAATGATTATATCGCGATTTTAACTTTAACACAATTTTATAACATTCACAAATAAAACATAATATAAATATTATTTGTTGAAGTAGAAACATCATTCAAACTAAATGATATAAAATTGAAATATTTTATACAATCAATTTAGTACCGTACCGTTTGTCGTGGTCTAATAGCTGGTTTAGATTTTGATTCTTCAGATTTTGAAACTTGTAAGTTCTCAGATTTATTATCCGTTTGTATGTGTGCCACTTCATTGTCTTTGAAATCCTGTGCGTTCTTGTAAAGCGTTTGAATTTTTTTTTCATGCTCTAATTCCAGCTTTTGCAATATCATCTTATCTTTATTAGAAAGCTCTATCGTAGGAACTTCTTTACCAGATTTAGCTATCATGTCTATTTTTTCTTTCACACTTGCATATTTCTTGGGAATTATCTCACCATTTGTTGTTTCAACATTTTGTTTTTCAGCTACCTGGATGGGAATCTCTTTTGGATCTTTAGCTTGATCATATACATACAATTTTGTATCAGCATGCTTATAATCATAATTAGCATTATTAGCCATTCCTAAAACTTCTGTTGCTCTATATTTAGAATACTCACTAATACCCTTTTCAACAACACACAAACGTTCAATTGTATCTCTAACTTCCAGAGGTACATTTTTCTACAAAAATAAAAGTAGTATACAAGTCAATTGTACAATGTACGCATATATGATGAATAAATAATGATATTCTAAACTTACAGAGAGCTTACTTGGGTCCACTTCACATATTTTGTTTGAAACGTTTTTCAAACTATTTAAAGTTGTTTGTAAACTTGAATTAGTAATAACTCGATTAATAGATTCTTCTTGATGTTTTAATATTGCGCTGCCAACAGATTGAGCTCCACGCAACACACCAATTAAATCCGAAGACCATACTCGTGACATTATCAAAAACTGAAACAAGAAATAATTTAGTAAATAAACATTTTAAATGAAGCGATTTCACTGTCTGTCAAAACACAATATATTGTTAATATTATTAATATTTATATAATTTTTGTTATTACAATAAATAACAAAGACCATACCTTACAAGAGTTATTTTTTTTACTCAATGTAAATAAAGAATAAATAATATTTCATTAAAGCATGTATAGACTTTGAGGTTATATAATCGAGGTTATTCATACACCTGCGCGACTGAGCTGACACATTATGTTGCATCATGTGATGATATATATACGTAACTTCGCCGTAATTAAAATCCAAATAAACGTAATATAATCATCAAATACAATGTTTTCACAATATAATTTGAAAAATTAAAATAACTGCATAAATAATATCATTATATTTGTATACTTTGATAATATCGATAGTACAATAAAAAATTATTTGGTATTGCCAAATGAGTTCTCATCTTTAAATATTTTATTACTTATCCATATACACGTTGACTTTAGGAAAATTGTGGGAAACTATTAATTACGATATATTCTACACTTTCGCCACTAAATCACCCATGTATGAAGAAGAATAAAACTATTGAACTTGTTGTACAAATTCAGTCAGGTATTAGAATTACATTTAGTTCACTGAGTTTCTCTTTGAGTACAGTTATTCAGCACTTCATTTAGGCTAGAGGTGCTTTCTGTTCGGAATATCAAGAAAATATTTTCTACTTACTACATATATTCAGCATATTCTCATGTTTATTCTATGGACTATTAAATAACATTTTCTACAATAATGAATTGCGCATATTTAATATTTATATACACAGTATATATTTGTTGTCGTTGTTTTTTTTTAAATAATACTACAGAGCATAAAAAAGTATTGTACAAATAGATCTAGGAGCTTTGGAAACAGCGTGACAATTTTTAGACCTTCAGCAAGAAGCAACAGGAACTTATCACTATAGAAACATCAACATGAATGAAGAAAACTCGCATAAACTTCACGAGCAAATTCAGTCCAAAAATTTGTTATGTCAATAGATTTTCAACAGAACGCTCCACGAATTTTCTAAAGATACTGCCTCGTTTCACTTGACATTGTGTATAAATATTTTGACAAGAAGTGAAATAATTTACAATAGTTAGAGAGAAGAGATCGCAAAAATAACCGGAATTAAATGACATTTGGTTGGTCAGGAATAAGCGAAGTAAAGAACGAGCTAAAGAAAGTCCAAGTAAATGCCAAAGCACCGGGTCTTTCACCCTCGTTTTCCTCGTTCGGATTAGTCCCTGCTTCAGTGTGAACTGTCCTCGGTGTTTCTGCACCTTGCGGTACAGGTGCCGCCTGCGGATTCACACGTACGTTCTGCGGAATCTGGTTATTGTTGTCAACACGGCCATTGTTGTTTTCCAGTAACATAATCGGTTGAACTCGGAAAAAGCCACCTTGATATCTGAAAACAGGAAATGGTTTAGCATAACTTAATTCGAGCTAACAATCATATGCTGGTGCAAACATGCATCAATTTTGATAAGAAAAGACAAAAGGTATCACCAACAATAACTCTTTGAGAATTCAAAACTCTGAACGATAACTTATATACAAGTTCCTATTGAAATAAAAATGTATTTACCACTTAATCAGTTATTCTTTGACATCTACTTACAAATAAATGGCAAATCCCAGGAAGGTGACAATGAGAAACCTCAACGGCGAGGAATAGAAATAGACTATGCTGAAAAGGACGATCATTCTGGAGAGCATGTACAGGAAATCCAACCAATCACGATGTAATCCTGCTACTGCCTCATCGCCAGCTACATTTCCTGCTTCTGGTGGATCAACCGCAAGAGCTCGTGGTTGGGGTTCTACATCTTCGACATTGTTATTGTTCACATTGTTGTTATGCGCTGTATCACTTACGTTCACGTTCGTTGATTGAACGTAGGGAATGCTACTTTGCAACTGGATTCCTTGTGCAGCCATACTATGAAGACAAAAACACAAATATATCAATGAAACACAGCATGTAAAAATAGCTTCACATCTTTCTTTATTCAAATTATTAGTTATGCATCATCATCATTTCAACTTGAAATTTCCAGTAAAAACCAAGTTAGAATGTAGATAAGATAGGGTGTTTGAAAACATTCAAAATCTTCCAAAAGTAGTATAATAAATATGACACAATAGTTAAAAAACATAATTTAACTTACAGTTGCATGTATTGTGTAAGATAATGCGTGTAAGCCTGTTGCATCCATGCCATTTGCTGGCCATTAAACTGTCCATAAAATTGTTGTGAGTAAAGTTGTACTGGTGGTAACTGTGAACTACTACTGTTGTTCTCTGGATTAATATCCTCAAGTCTTTCAGTTCTTGAACCTAGAATTTCTACTTCATTCTCAGTACCCATATTTTCTCCTGCACAGGTCTGTGTTGGCTCAATATCAGTTTTTTCTATGCTGGCTTTATGTGGCGCACATACTAAATGCATCGTAAATGGTTGATCATCAGAACTATCATACTGGCGTAGGATGTCCTTCAAATATGACGAGTCGTTTAACAATTGGCCAGAATATATGAGCTTCTGTTCAGAACTTTTCTGTAAATTATAGTGAATCCATGAATATATTATACTTATAAGAACTTCCAAGCTTGTGCAATGCTAAATGACTTAACATATCATAATGAGATAGGAATAATGTCATGTATAATCTAGTAGCAGATAATAAAGGTACTGAATTTCATAATTGGATGTTGAAGGTAATACTGTACTAAATCCAGCTAACTGTGAACTATGCAAGGTCAAAGGCACAAAAACACAGTTTAGTCAATCATTATCTTCAGAAGTTAAATATTTTATGTTCATATTAACTATATAATATATAGTGTGTGATGATAAATCATATTGATATTAATTTCTTAGACAGTGACAGTTACCAATTCTGATTCAAGAAATCTACACCTGTGCATACGTATTTACTTGTTTAAAGTAGAGAAAACAGAATATATAAATTGTAAATAAGAATACCACTGGTAATCTTTACATAATATTCTAGATACATATAATTAAAAATAAATGATACATTTTAATATTCAATGCACTTGTGTAAATGATATTTGAAATATTTTGCAAATCTACATCATGAGAAATCAGACTGAATTATAAATTATATACTGATGATACAATCTTACACGATATGTATATAGTGATAAGATAAAAACACCTATCTACGTAGTATATATCAAAGCAGATAAAAAATAGGAAAGAGTAGTCACTTTCTCTGGAGAAAAACTTTCACTAAGAGAAATATAAAAACTACCACTGTACATATACATTGTATACAAAATTTGATAAAATTCATTAAAAATGTGTGAGACGAAATAATGCATTATTACGATACGATCATCTTGTATAGACAAAAAGTTACACATAATTATTACGCTTCAATTAGCAAATTAAGATCATAGCCAAGCGAAAATGAGCAAGAAAATGAGCAACGACCTGATTGCCAAGATAACTAGAACACATTACGAATATATCCATCTCGATCGACAAAATTGAGATGCAATCAGGGAACAAATATAGCGATGATTCCAAGGAATTATGAAAATAATGATACTCACTGGTTTACTGGGATAGACTTCAGAAAGACGTTCTTTAAGTTTTCCGACAGTCCAGGTAACATCACATTTGATAATTTGATCGTCGATCTGTTGATTAGGTGCTTTTACGATTAACCTAACGGGCGCGCCTTCCATTATTATGATGCGATAATGTTTTTTCTTATGTCAGATTCTCTGTCGAATGGCAATATTCGGGAAACGTCGAATAACAAAACCGAGGCGTAATTTATGTTAAACTTGTGGATTCCTACTGTACTATTGAGTTGACTGTAGGAGACTGGTATGAAATAGATCTTTTACCCTATCGTATATTTTTTAGCCCACGTCAGTTCTTTCTTATTTATTTTGATATAACAACCTATTACGATAGCAATGATCCACCCACCGTCTGGTGTTAAACGTACGAGCACTGCTATTGGCTTATACGGCTTTGCATGTGTAGCATGTCGCTATATAGAATGACACATTTGGCGTATCGTCATTGGCTCAAGTTAACTCGGTTCTGTTTTATATCGTGTGCTCAGTGGTTCGCGAAAAATCCTTACATCATTTTTATTTTGAATGAAAATGAACGCATAATCATTTACAATGTAAATTGTTTTCAGGACTAATAAAATGTCAGATTATTAAGGCAGTATTAAAACGGTATTAATTCCATAGAATTAAGGCAAGTTCACAGTAATTTTTTTCGTTACCGTAAAAGTGCAATTAAATTTTACGGTGTCCAAAGTGGAGATATGCATGTATTGCCGAGTATCTGGAAAGAAGTTTTACAGTATAATTTATTATGACGAAGTAGTAGATTATAATAATAAAAATAAAAAAATTAAACAGGTTATTTTCCTTCCGTTTATTATTACGATTATCTTTATGTGACGAAGTTGTAAAAAACATTGCAACTCGAAATTTTTTCGATTGTTACATTACATTTTAATGGTATAGGTAAATTAAATAAAGACAAATATTCTGTATGAACGTATGTTTGTAAAGATGATTATATTGAATTGATTCAATTCCAAAAATAGAATTATTGTAATATCTATTTTAATGTTGTAACAGACAGTATGTAGTTAGATTTTTTACTCTCTTTATACTTCTTTTTGATTCGAAGTTTTCACCAATTGGGGTCTAAATTTTTGTTGGTTTGATCTATGCCTCAACTGAAAATTCCATCCAATTGCATCCAATCTCTATGCTTCCGATTCCAGGGTGCTCGCACCTCAAAGTGCAGGCAGAGATGAGTAGGGGGAGTTCTATGGTTTGGATTGGTGATCGGACCGTCGCGCGAGGTACATCGCTGTCTAGATATATATATAGATATTTCAGATTTAGTAAACGTGGTTTTGCATATTCTTTATTAATCCATCACATCTCGGCCCTTGAGCCATTTTATTCAATATATACAGTTTTGTGCTTTTTGAGTATTGCCAAAATATTTAGTTGGCGGAAATATTTAATTTATCTATCCACAATTAATTATTCCTTCGGATCCATCTAAATTGTGAAGTGGAAGATCTGCTATTGGAGCGGTGTTGGAATCATTTTTGAAGCTGGAGTCTGGTGCCGACTATCGTGGCCTTATATTGCCTTCCCGGGAGATCTTGAGTTATCTCACACGCTTTTTAAGATTTCATCGGGGGGCCAATTGCAGCTAAGTTGTGTCGTTTCCTGTCTCTTGTACATGTCCTCATGTCGGTGTGGTCTGCCGTAGTTAAACACGTGGTTTTCCATCCTGGCTTCTCTGGACTGAGTCGGGTGTGTTTTTCCCTGTCTTTTTGTTTATTTTTGGATTCTTCAAAGAGGGTCTGTTGACTGCCTGCCTGCCTTCCTGATATGGCAGATATAGATTCTGTA